GACAAGGCTGCTCTCTCTCTCCATATATCTTCAATATCTTACTAGAAGTTCTAGCTAATGCTATAAGACAACAAAAGGAGATCAAGGGGATCCAAATTGGAAAGGAAGAAGTCAAACTGTCTCTATTTGCAGATGATATGATAGTTTCCATAAGCGACCCATTAAACTCTACCAGGGAACTCCTACAGCTGATAAACACCTTCAGCAAACTAGCAGGATACAAGATAAACTAAAAAAAAAAAAAAAAAAAATTAGTAGTCCTACTTTTTTCAGACGACAAAGAGACAGAGAAAGAAATCAGAGAAACATCACCCTTTATAATAGCCACAAGCAACATAAAGTATCTTGGTGTAACACTTACCAAACAAGTAAAAGACCTATATAATAAGAAATTTGTGGCTCTAAAGAAAGAAATTAAAGAAGATTCCAGAAAATGGAAAGACCTTCCATGCTCTTGGATAGGTAGGATAAACATAGTAAAAATGGCAATCTTGCCAAAAGCAATCTACAGATTCAATGCAATCCCCATTAAAATCCCACCACAATTCTTCACTGACCTTGAAAGGATAATAAGCAACTTTATATGGAAAAACAAAAGACCCAGGATAGCCAAAACAACCCTATACAATAAAAGAACTTCAGGAGGCATCACCATTCCTGACTTTAAGCTCTACTACAGAGCTATAGTTCTGAAAACAGCCTGGTATTGGCACAAAAATAGACAGGTAGATATTAACCCACACACCTATGAACACCTGCTTTTCGACAAAACAGCTAAAATTATACAATGGGGCAAAGACAGCATCTTCAACAAATGGTGCTGGCACAATTGGATGAGAGTGTAGAAGACTGCAGATAAACCCATGTCTGTCGCCATACACAAAACTGAAGTCCAAATGGATCAAAGACCTCAACATCAATCCAGCCACATTGAACCTCTTAGAAGAGAAAGTAGGAGGTACCCTTGAACAAATTGGTATAGGAGACCGCTTCCTGAACTCCAGGATCACAGGCACTGAGAGCAACAATTAATAAATGGGACCTCTTCAAACTTAGAAGCTTCTGTAAGGCAAAGGACACAGTGGACTAGACCAAACGGCAGCCCACAGACTGGGAAAAGATTTTCACCAATCCTATATCCAACAAAGGGCTGATCTCCAAAATATACAAAGAACTCAAGAAACTAGTCAACAAAACACCAAATAACCCTATTAAAAATGGGGTACAGAACTGAAGAAAGAATTCTCAATAGAGGAAATCAAAAAGGCTGAAAGACACTTAAGAAAATGCTCCACATCCTTAGATATCAGGGAAATGCAAATCAAAACAACTTTGAGATACCATCTTACTCCTGCCAGAATGGCTAAAATTAGAAACACCAATGATGACTCATGTTCGAGAGGATGTGGAGAAAGGGGAACACTCCTCCACCACTGGTGGGAGTGCAAACTCATACAGTCATTTTGGAGATCAGTATGGCAGTTCCTCAGGAAAATGGGAATTAGTTTACCACAGGACCCGGCAATCCCCCTCTTAGGCATATACCCAAAGGATTCACATCCATGCAACAAAGACATCTGTTCAACTATGTTCACAGCAGCACTATTTGTAATAGCAAGAACCTGGAAGCAACCTAGATGCCCCTCAATTGAAGAATGATTAATGAAGATGTGGCACATCTACACAATGGAATAGTACTCTGCAGAAAAAAATAATGGTATCTTGAAATTCGCAGGCAAGTGGATGGCACTTGAAGAAACCATCCTGAATGAGGTAACCCAGTCACAAAAAGAGGAACACAGTATGTACTCATATATAGATTTTAGACCTAGATCAAAGGATCACCAGCCTATATATAATTCACACCACCAGAGGAACTAGGATACAAGGTGTATTCTAAGAAATTCATATAAAGTCCCTCACAGAACTTGGAAGGGACAAGTCCCCCAGAGCACAGGGGAAGTGGGGGGGGCAGCGAATGGAGAGAGAAGTAGGAGAAAACGAGGGGGAAGAAAGGAAAACATGTGCAACCAGGAAGATTGAGCGTGGTTAGGAACAGAAGACAGGAAAGAGAAAGAGAGAGAGAGAGAGAACATAAAAGAGGGAGCCAATACTGGTTTGAAGATAAACTTGAACACAAAGAAAGGTCTAGAGAACTACAAGACTGCTCCCAACCACCAATTTGAGCTTCCGTGGAAAGGCTATCATAAATGCCCTTCCTGGAGAGTGAGATCAACAACGAACTTATCCATGGAGCCCTCAACTAATGCTTGTTGGAAACAGAAGCAAACACCCATACATAAACACTGAGTCGAACTAGAACCCAGATGCAGATGGAGAGGACAATACCAGGCTGCAGAAACACATAGAGACAGCTTACCTGAACAAGGAGGAGCTAACAGCCACTAGACTGATAGCTGGGAAGCCAGCATAGGACTGACTCAGGCCCCCCTGAATATGGGTCTCAGCCAGAAGGACTGAGCAGTCTAAGGGACCTCAGACAGTGGACCCAGGATGTATCCCTGGTGCACAAAAGGACTTTACGAATACATCCCCCATGGAGGGATAACTGCCTTAATCTAGAGACAGGAGAGAAGTCCCTACTTCAAATGACCTGTCAGATCTACATGACCCCAACTGGATGGCATTCCCCTACATATGGAATTGGGGTGGGGGGATGGGAGGGTGGTTAGAGTGCATGTGAGAGGGCAGAGAGGGTAAAAGGGAGGGAAGAAGGGATGGATAGAGGGAGGGAGGGAAGGAGAGGGAACTGGGATCGACATGTAAAATAATAAATTAAAAAAAAATGCTTTGACTCCAAAATTTAAGTTCAAGGACAAGTTACTGGGGAAAAGGATTTCTATTTTTTGTTTCCACAGAAAATGAAAAGATGTGGATTCCTTCCAGACTAATGTGGTTTGATCAAGCCAGACCACCTGAAACAGAGTACCAGGTGATCTTACATTCAAAATAGCTGGACAAAACAGCCTTACAGACTACAGCCAGGATTTCTGAATCTTCTTCGAATCCCCCATGACAGCGCCCCTTATCAGCAGGAAGTAGTTTGGAAAGAACAATGCCCAAATTCCCAAATATTGTCTATAAATGTTTGTTTTCATTTAAATGGACTTTGTTATATAAAATAAATTAAAAAAAAAAACTTTTCAACTAAGACAATTAACAAAAATATATTTGATGCCTGAAGGGCCAAGGTCCTGAGAAGAGGGTGCAGCAGTAAGGCTCTGATGCCCATCACTGTTGCCACTCACAAGGCATTTGTCTTTGCCATGCAGGAATGCTAAGAAACAGGTCAAAGGTGCTCAAAAATTACAGTGGATTAGCATGGAGACCAAAATCACAATAAAATATCTGGGGGATAGTGGTGGGGAGAAGCTACAGAATATACCTGGGATTATAAGTGAAACTTTAGGTGTGTCTTATAAAGACTATAGATCAGCTTCATTGTGCTCAGTCCCTGATGCCTGAGTGTTGTATCTATCACACTCATCTAACTCATCTAAGGCTGTATAACAATCACCTTTCAACAAAACATATCCTTATTTCTATGGGTATAGAAGTAAAGAGTACTACAGTTAAGGGATCCTGGCTCAGGGTCTCTCATGCGGAGGTTAACTCAAGCTGAACTAACCCAAAGGTTTGACCAGCACTACTACTTTTACAAGATCGTTCTATTTGAACTATTAGAATTTTGCGGGTAATTCTTCATTTATACAATACTTTAACACTGATTTTAGCATCAAGGTTCATTTCTCATAAAATGAATTTAATAAGCTTTTTTTCATATTCTTTGGTAAGAGTTTAATGTTTGTATCATTCCTCCTTACATGTTTTCTAAAACTCACCTTCTAAGGTGAGATATAGTGGTACATGCCTTTAAACCTAGTATTCCAGCAAGAGGGTAGCCCAATTTACACATCAAATTCCAAGCTAGCCAGCCTATAGAGAGCTGTCTCAAAAAACAAACAACAAAGCAAACAAATCATCATGGCCAAGTTACATGTTTGTTACACTATCTGCATACTTTGGAAAGGATGTGTAACTGCCATAAACAGCAACATAAACTGCAGGTTGTTTCAGTATACAACACAAAGTGAGTGAGTGTTAAGTACATAGACACAGTTGTCTGTGAAGTGACTGTACAGCAAAGCCTCTGCTTCTTTACAGGCATCAGCAGCACTTTCCTTTTCTGTCACTTCAGAGGTTTCAGAACATGCTGTCAACAGTGGCAGCCGCAGACTCAGTGACTCTTGCCTTCATCATCTAAATGTTTTCTTCATAGATTCCCCACTTAATACCAAAATGCAGGCCTCTACACATGATTAATAATAAAAATGCTTCTTAAAAACAAGGTCTGGAGAGAAGGCTCAGAGGTTAAGAACAATTATTATTCTTGCAAAGAACCTGAATTTGGTTCTTAACACCCATGTTGGGAAGCTCACCACTACTTGGAACTCCAGCTCCATGGGGATCTGACACTCTGCTGAAGTGCAATCATGTGCACACACAAACATACACATAAAATTAAAATCATTAAGAATGAATGAAAATGCAGGTCTAAATAGTATGGGTTACTAGGGTAGCTCCTAAAAAGTCAAAACTGTATGTTAAGTCCCAAATACCCAGGCCAGCCAGGGTAACACACCCCCCTGTCTCAAAGTCATAAAAACAAAAAGACTATCAGTATGTTCTACTGGGGGAAAGCACTGAGCTAAGCCAAATGACTTCATGCTTCTGTGCTTGTAAAAACACTCTTCCTAACCAATCCCAACCACTAATCACATGATAGAAATGGGAAGTAGCACAACAAAACCTGTTTACCTGACAATTCAAAACCTGAGTGCTGCTCAAACAACAATAGAAGCTCAGAGAACCAATTGAATTCCTTCAGATTGTAGATGTGGATATGAAGTTTTAAGCTACTTTATGTTTAACTAATATAACTAAGATAAATAACTATGCATTTTTATAGCAATACCTACCTTTCAGAAACAAACTCAACACAAGCTGATGACAAATTAATTCTTGCATTCTCTGAAGACTTAAAAGGCTCAGGATTCACAGAAGGCATTATTTTACTTAGGCTTTTAACTGACTTTTGATTCACACTTGAATTCATGACCTCTGCATCTGTAACCTGTTAAATGGATGAGGAAAAAGCAGGTGAAAGGAAGGTAAAATTTCACATGGAAGAATCTTGCATATAAGTAAAATATTAAATGTTCTGTACTTCATTGACTGATGATCATAGAGTTGACTTCTCTGCCAAAATGAGTCAGGGAAATAAACAATGACATTACAAACCTAACACTTTCAAAACAGGACAAATAATGAAATATTAGACAACACCTTATTTCTAGTAGTCTAAGTTTTAAAAAATAAAAGGGTGACTTTAACTTCTAGTTGTTAATTTATTTAAACCTTGGAGTAAAATGATTGACTCCATGCCTCAACTGAGAACAAACATGGCCTTTTGTAAGGGGCAGCATGAAAAATAAGCTAGACACACAGAAACAGACACACACATACACAGAGAGGCAGAATTTTGAAGTGCTATTTAATACTAAGTAAATCAATTTTACATGTGAGTATGTTCACATACCACTGGGAAGCAAAGTAGAACAGTGTTCCTTTCATTTCCAGGGCAAGGTAACATGGATTCACTTTCTCCCTCTACACTCTTTAACAACATTATAGACATGTAAAGGATTCAATGGATAATCATAAAGCAAAGGAAAAAATTTAATGAAGGGAGACTGGCCGGAGACCTCATGACCACAGTGAATATACTCTATACAGCATACTAGATTGTAAGGATACCAGACATCTCTCCATTCCCCATTCCAAATATGTAGTAGTGGTCGGTGGTGACTTGACCCCAATTTCATAAACCATAATAGCTCCTGGGTGAACACTGGGGCAGTGGAAGTCTAACTGCTTGCAGCAACAATAGCAAGCAGAGTCTAACCACAGACCAATCCCCAGAACAGTAGCTAGCCAAATCTACTTCAAAGGCAATATTGCCCTCTTCCCACATGTAAGCCATCATCAGGGCATAGACTAGCAATAACACTTAGCTCTTCACCAGCAAGCTGGCAGACCAAATCTACTGTGATTAAAAGCACAGACCAAAAGCAGTGGGCAGTTAGGAAGTACCTGCAGGGACCAACAGGTAACCATGGGGAGCCCAAAGAACAAAGCCAAGCAAAAGAGCATACAAAAGCCATGAAAGTAAATTGTTATTGAAGCTGCAGCTCTGAGGAGGCCAGGATGTATATACTAAGCCTAAGTAGAGTACCCATAAAAGGTGGCAAATACCATGACATTTTTGGTCCTTATAAAGACTAGCAAAAGGTGGTAGCTGAATGTATCCTTGTATCCCAGAACTGTTTTTCCGGTCATGAACCTAATTTTTGAGTTGTACCCTGGATATGCTAAGAATTTCCCAGATCAAGTCCTGGCTCCTTTTTGTTATAGTCTCTCCTTCCATAGCACTTCTGTATTTTCACATTTAACTTAAAAACAAACAAAAAACAAAACAAACAAACAAAAAAAACAAGAAACCACCGTTGTTATCTAAGCCTTCTGTCCTTGTTTGGAAGTATATTCACATCTTATGATCCTACAAGCCAAAAATTTTATAACTTCTGTGTATTTATACAAACCTTACAGACTGTATTATTGGGTAATGTGTTTGGTTCCAAACAATCTCCTTGAGATGATAATACTGTTTTGATACGTCTTTGAAGTCTTCTGATTTTTATCTAGAAGAAAGAAAACTTAGGTATCACACCAGGATACTAAATACTACAAGTGAAGAATGAAAACTATTTGAGCAAGTAGTCTTGTAAAATCTACTCAAATAAATGAGAAGGCCTTCTTTTCCTTCATTTTTTTTTCATGATCCCAGGCCCCAATCACTCTCAGTAGGGAATGCCTTCGATTCTTTCATTCCGTTAGCTAGCATCTTTACTTTTTAAATTTTACTTATTAATTTATAGATATGGTCTGATGTATTTCAGGCTGGCCTTAACAACAATGTCCTTGAATTCCTAGCTTTCCTGTCTCTATCTCTGGGTAATGGAGTTGTACATCAGCATATCCTGCTTATGTATGCTATGTAAAACATGGGAACAAACTCAGGACTTACTGCTAGCTAGGCCAGCACTCCACCAATTTAGCTACATCACCAGCCCCAGTGATAAACTCTTATACCATCAACACTTGCTATCCATGGAGGAATGGACCCAGGTCCTATAAATATGAAAATCAGCACACATTAAAAATATACATACATCCGCTTGTGCACTTTAAATTATCTTTAGATTACTTACAAGGACTAATACAATGGGAATGCTGTTACATAGTTGTTACAATGTACTGTTCAGGAAATAATATCCAGACAAAAAGATGGTACACATTCAATAGAAACATTTTCCCCAAAATATTTTCAGTCTGTCTGTGGTGATGCATGCCTTTAATTTCATGGCAGGACAGCCTCTGGAATTGAGAGACCATACTAATCTATATAGTGAATTCCAAGACAGTCAGATAGTTGAGGCTAGGTAGTGAGAACCCAAATCGACAACAAAAGAAAAATCAGTCTGAAGTTAGTTAAGAACAGACACAGAACTCAAAATGTGGATAACTGATAAATGAGGCAGTCAGCCACTTAAGATAGTTAAGAACGGAAGGGGCTTGTTTAGATGGTTCATGGTTCCAATTCCAAACTTAAGAGGACTTTAAAGAAGGAGGATATAGAGTTCAAAGCCAACATAGACTACACATACCCAGATCCAACCTCAAAAACTAAACAAAAAAACCAAGAAAGATAAAAAACAAGAAATTTAATCTGTCTGCAATAAAAATGATGGAGGTTTTAAAAAAAAAAAAAAAAAAAAAAAAAAAAAAAAAGCCAGGTGTTGGTGGCAGACCTCTTTAGTCCCAGCACTCAGGAGGCAGAGGTAGGCAGATCTCTATGAGTTCAAGACCAGCCTGGTCTACAAGAGCTAGTTCCAGGACAGCCTCCAAAGCCACAGAGAAACCCTGTCTCCAAAAAAACAAACAACCCCCCCCCCCCAAAAAGCCCAAAATCAATCAAACAAAAAAACTAAAAAACAAAATAAAACAGATTATGTAAGCTCTAATAAAGCATGTATCAGAATGAAAAGAAAATGACTACATACTACAGATAACCATCAGACACAGAATGTCTACTAGGACTAAGATTATTTCTCAAGCCTTAAATTAAACTAGTAGGTCTTCTTTTATTGCAGTGGTTCTTAAGCTGCAGATACTATCTTAGATATCCTGCATATCAGATATTTATAGTACGATTCATAACAATAGCAAAATTATAGTAATGAAGTAGTAACAAAAACAATTTTATGGTCTGGAACTGTATGTATTAAAGGGTCGAAGCATTGGGAAGGTTGAGAACTGTTTTATTTAACCCCATTCCCAACATACAGGGTCCGAATACATTCCACACAGAAAAGGAAGAAAATGAAATCAGAAACTTACAAAGAGTTCACCAGCTATTGCTTCATGCTTATTCTTGCACTGGGTCTTCCCAAATGCGTTCATTCAGTTCATTCAGTTTTTTATCAAATAGATTACAATTTATCATGTAGATCTCCTGTCGAATCCAATGTTTAACCTAGAAGTTTAAAAAACAAAGCCAAAACATGCAAACTTCAAAACAATTTTACTTCCTACTTTTTATTTTTATGTGTATTAATTAACGTTTCACCTGCATGTATGTATGTGCACCATGCAGAGGCCAGAGAGAACATCAGCGCTCCTGGAACTAGAGTAATAGATAGTTATGAGCTGGCATATGGGTTATGGGACTTGAACCAGGGTCTTCCTTGAGCCATCTCTCTGATCCACTCCTACTTTTTTTTGGTATTTTTCATTAAGTAGTCTCAGCTAGTCTGTAATAGACCAGACTACGCACAATTTCAAAGAGCTCCATATACCTTCGCATCCTAGGTGCTGGTTTAAAGGTGTACACCACCATGCACAGCTTATTTTCTACTGCTTGAAAATTGCTGTACTCTTTCCTGATTTTTTGTGGTTTTTGAGAAGGGTTTCTCTGTGTAACAACCTGGCTGTCCTGGAACTCACTCTGTAGACCAGGCTGGCCTCAAACTCAAGAGATCTGCCTTTGCCTCCCAAGTGCTGGAATTTAAGGCATGCACAACCACAGCTCAGCCTTCTTAATGTTTTATAATGACAAAACTGCTACATATTACCATACCGGTAAGTTTTATAAAAATTGGATATTAAATTTTGCATACCACGTTTAATATTTAGTACACAAATAGACATATTAGAAATTAAATTCATCCTCAAAACATTGACTTCAATTCATATAGTTCAGTTGATTACTGTTTACAATTGAATACCACAATAACTATAATGAATTATAATCAGACCCATCAAAACAGAACTTCTGAGTAAAGCTTTCCTACTAGTACTAAAGATTATATTTCTTCCCCCTTTTGTTTTTGTCTTTTGTTGTTTCTTTCAAACAGGGTTTCTCTATAGTCCTGCATGGCTGTCTTGGAAATTGCTCCAAAAACTAGGCTGGCCTCAAACTCAGTGATCCATCTGCCTATGCCTCCCGAAAGTGCTGGGATTAAAGGTATGCACTACCATGCTTAGTCTGGAAGATCCTATTTCAGTTCCTAGTTGATCAGACAGATGGACCATGAATAAACATAATTGGGCAAAACTGAAAGCAATAAGTATATTTAAAAGTTTTAAAAAGCAGTATTCCTAGGTAAGTTTGGAAGAGGAGATATGTAATTTGAATGCATCAAGACTCTAAAATAGACCACAGGGTTGCTTGAGTCTACAAAATAATAATTGTGATGTGATCAATAAACAGCTATTGCTGCCAATCGAAAGAAAAAAAAAAAAAAACCCATGACTAACACAAAATATTTTGCACTATCAAGTAAAGCTCAAGGTCATCCCATGTTTGACTTATACATTGGGTAGCCTATTAATTAAAAAGTCTATCTCTTTTTACAAGACTTTTATAGATTCATAATTCTGTAGATTACCCAGTCTGGAACCATTCCATAAAATAGAAATATATTGGTAATATAAGCAATTTCACTCTTAAATGTTTTTGTTTGAATTATGACTTGGCTAGTTTACATCAACTAAACTAGCTAGGGAACCTCAACTGAGAAATTATCTGCATAAGATGGAGATGTAGACAAACAAGTCTGTACAATACAGGGCTTTCTTAATTGGTGATCCATGAGGGAGGGGCCAGCCTATATGGGTTGGGCCTCCCCTTGGCTGGTGGTGGCACACACCTTTATCCCAACACTCAGGAGACAAAGACAGATGGAATTCTGTGAGTTCAAGGCTAGCCTGGCCTACGAGTCCCAGGATAGCCAGGATACATGAAGAAAACTTGTCTTGAAAAAAAAAAAGAAAGAAAGAAAGAAAGGTGGCTAAATAAGCCATGGAGGACAAGCCAGTATGCACTCCATGGTTTCTGCATCAGCCCCTGCCTCCAGATTCCGGCACTGACTATTTTCCTGGATGATGAACTACGATATCAAAGTATAAGAAAGATAAACCCTTTCCTCCCCAGCTGGTATTTCATAACAATAACCTTAACTAAGATAACTAAGAGATATTGTAAAGGTGTGAAGGTGTGTGTGTGTTTGTGTTTTGAGATATATTCGAGGGAAGAAAGAGATATCAGATCCCCTAAGCTGGAATTATAGGTTATGAGCCACCAAAAGTAAGTTCTGGGAACTAAACTCAGGTCCTCTCTGCAAAAGTAGCAAGTGCTCTTAACCTTTACTTTCTCTCCTGCACTTTCAACACATCCAAAGTGTAAGTTCCTAAAGCAAATATTTAAAGCCCAACATTACCTGTTCTAGCAGTGCTGTATGCCTTTCCAGAGCTACACAACCATTTTCATTAATTTGCTCTGAAGCTTCCATGAACTTAACATTTTCTTTGTTTTCTGAAAACATCTTCTTTTGATTATGGCCTTGGGGAGATAGAAAGATTATAGGTAAAAATATTCCTTCTTAAGAAGGAACTAAAAACTCTAATTTAGGAAGTCTAATCAAGTGGAAAAACTAAAATATGCCAACAGCAGTGCTTAAAAGTTTTAATTAATAATTTTTTAGCTAGGCATGATGGTGCATGACTTTAATCCTAGCACTCAGTACTATATAGCAATACCCTAGTTTAAAAATACATATATTGAGCTGGGTGATGGTAGCACACACCTTTAATCTCAGCACCCAGGAGGTAGAAGCAGGTAGATCTCTGTGAGTTCAAGGCCAGCCTGGTCTACAGAGCTAGTTCCAGGACAGCCAGATGTTACAAGCCTATCTTGAAAAACCAAGTAAATATAATGGCATAAAAAACATTTCCTTTCTTTAAAAAAAGAAATCTTGGTAGGATTCGGGTCTCAGATATAAACCCATTTCAGTCTTTTTTTCATAGGGATAACCAAAGGAGAAGGAGGTACACAGTTCAAATTATAGCATTTGGGAGGTGAAAAGACAATAAAAAATTCAAGGCCAGACTGGGCTATGAGACCTTCTCTCACCAAAACAAAAAATATGAAAAAACAAATCCTTCTGAACACATAATCCAAACAAAACCCTAAATAAACTGTATATAGTCACTTAAGGAATTCATTACTTTCATTAAGTTATTCAGCAATTTAAATTATCTTTGAAATGATAAATACAAACAAAATAGTCTACATTGTGTGTATATGTGAGCATGCCCTAATAGTGAGTGTGGAGGGTAGAGGCATTCCTTGTGAAGTTCTCTCCTCCCACCTTTACGTGGGTTCCAAGCTTTGAAGAGAACACCTTTATTTGCTAATCCATCCTGCTGGCCCTAATCAGCATTTATGAACCAACATAAAGATCCTACTTCTAATGATATTTGTTTTGCTATTTAATGATTTTATAACTTGAGCACTTCCTTTTTTAATTACTTGGTTTCTTTCTAAGTAGCTCTCCATTGTTGGGCATATGAATTAACTGCATCTCTCATTTCTATTTGGCATATGATCTATAAATCAATTCTATGGAAAAAATAGATTCACCAACAATTTAATGTACCTGTCCTTTGGGAGACTTACAAAGCTCCACCTCCCAAGTAGCTATTGGCGGTTAATATTTGCAGAAGGAAGGGGAAGGATTCAATTTACTGGTATATCCACATCAGTAAGATACCCAGGATCCTTTATGCCTTGTCTGGCCTCAAATTTGCTTTGTAGCTAAGGATGACCTTGAACTTTTGATCCTTCTGTTTCTACCTTTTTAGTGCTCCAGATAACAGTATGCACACACAACACCCAGTTGATGTGGTACTGGGGACTGAACTAGAGTTTCAAGCACACTAGGCAGGCACTCTACCAATTGAGCTACATAGACGTCCCCAGCCTCATAACTCTTTTCAACAGAATTTAGTCCTGCCTGATGCCCAATCCTAGCACTACAAATAAAGCCAATAATTAACCATAATTTTCTCCTTTAACAATGTATATTGCCATCTCAGAATCAAGAACAATTTACAAACAAAACAGTTTGAAAACATAGACATCATTTATTTTTTGTCCTATCTATATGTACTCTATTTTTTGTCATGTTTGATACTTTAAAATACCCTTAGGAAAGTCACTATTTGAATTTCTCCAAAAGACATAGAGTTACTATACTATCAAGGCCAAGTAATGACTACCACTTGAGTATGCACATTCACAATTAAAAAGACCAGAGTGACAGGTCCCACTGTATTCTTTGGTTTTCAAAATAGCATCAGCACAATTACTAGAGAAGACTGAATTTACCAAATTAGGTTTTTTCTCAAGAGATAAAGTCTGAACTCAAAAACATAACTTTGATCTTTAGGCTCTGAAGTAAAGTTTGCTTCTAAATTAAAAGCTATCTTGTGGGTTCTCTTATCATCTAAAGTACTCTGGATTATAGCACTTATTTAACACCTATTTAACACCATCAACTTTTTAATATAAAGTTATTGTAATTCTCTTCATGTTTAGAAAATGATCTTGATACATTTGTTCTGCAATTCTGTCAGCTCTTGTGTGGAGTATTTGACAGAAGAGTTAGGTGTCCCTGGCTTTGTGTAAGAACATACACCCTGATCATCAGTGGTTCCTGACCTTGTTTCTGAAACAGTTCTTCTAATGCTTAAAGTCTGGAAGAATGCTACACAAATGAGGAGTTAGCATGTTCAGAATGTATACATTTGCTAGCTAGAACGTCAGGACTTAAGCTCTGATTACCGTTTGAAACAGTATTAGTTCCAACTGTTGCTTTTGAAGCTTCAACATTCTTTGACTTGTTCAGGATCTCCAACTGCTTCCGGCAACTTGCAGGCATTGTTTTTTTGGCCTTTAAAACCTTCTGTCTTTTTCTGTCTGGACTTTCCATAATTTGTATCCTAGAGTTTAAGATATATTTAACATGATACTTTGCCTCAAAAAAAAAAAAAAAAAAAAAAAAAAGATTTAAATGCATTTACCCGGTTAGTTATAATAATATTAAAATAATACTGAGAATATTTCTCTATATTGATCATTTCTATTTGGAAGCTTTATTCTAAATAGAAACAATTAGAACCAAGATTTTAAATAGTATGTACTATAATAAAGACAGTGGTACTAATAGGACAGAAACCAGAAAGAGCTTCACATAAAACCATTTGACTTGTCTGGACAAAGGAGAAAAAGACTGGTATTAATACAGGATTCATGTTTACTAGATAGGTACATGGGGGAAAAAAACATACTTTACTCTTTATCTCATACCTTATCTAATAAATTTCAAAGTAATAGGTAACAGAAAAAAATAGCAAAGTAACCCTAGATGGGTCACATGTATAAACATGAATGGTATGGTAAAAGTTTTTGGAAAAAAAACAGACCATATCTCTTTGAAGTGGGCAAATTTTATTTCTGTAGAAAGCTCTAAGACATAAATGAATATAAAAATAAAAATGTGTCCATATATTCACTAAAAACCAAGTACCAGAGAAAGTTGATATAAAGAAAAAGTAGGAAACAGTATATCTAGCTCCCCAGTGGGAAAGAAGCCTCAGGCACAGAACAGGTAGACATGGTAACACCAGGGTGGAAATCATAGCTCAGAGAAACCCAAGCTAGATTGGCTGAGAGAATCCAGAATCCTCTTGTCTCTCTTCTCAATCACTGGGATTATAAGCATGCACCATCACTATGGTTGGCTCTGTGTGACATGGTGAAAACCATGTTTACAGACCAGGGGCATGTGTTCCATGGAACTTAGTCTCCCGGAGGTCCTTGGCATCCTGCCCCTATGCTTTGTTCCAGTGCACTGATCCAAGTTCTGTGGATTTGGGTTCTATACCTTATCTTTCTTGATTTTTTTATGGCTATAATTAATACAACAGGTCCTGGCCAAGTCTTGGTAGATAGTAAACGGATAAAAGTTCAAAGACTAGTAGGAAAAAGACCCAGGGAGTTCACCAGGAGCTAGGAAGAACAGTCTACTACTACGAATTCCTACTACTACGATTTATGGTAGAAGGCATTACCTACTCAAAGGACAATGGTAGGTGCCTCCAATAAACAGGGAAACTCCACAGAGACTCAGGACTACAACCCCTTCTGTGCTGATACAGGAGTATATGATCAGGGAAATAGATGAGTAATTATAGATGGAGAGAAGGTGTGTCACACACTTAGTAGATATTAGCTAGAGCAAGGCCTCCTTGTTGCTTATTGACAAAAGGGACCAAATTAGTTTAACAAAACAATTACAAAAACTATATGCTCACCTCCCCCAAAGTTGGATGGGGGGGCTTCAAAAAGAGCCAAATTGGCCAGACTGATCATAAATATATTAAGCTTTACAAACTTCTACATTTTTTATATAGGAGGCAGCTCAACAAAATTTTAAGAATAAAATTGACCTCAGGTCTGAGGCTATTAACCACTGTCTAGAGGCCAGATGGTACTCAAAGGGTACTTTCTGCTCTGTTCTTTTAGTTTCAAGATAAGTTGTCAACATGTAACCACTCATTAGATGTGACTATGTATAACCTGACATGGGGTCAAATCTTAGTTCCTAAATCATGTGTATATATCTGATGCTCTCTCACTAGAGTAAACTTACAACAGATTCAAACCACTTCTCTTTGTGTTGTGTCTGTCACTTGCCAAATCCTTACCTTACCGACCTGATTACTAGAGATCCCTAACTGGGTCAGTCCATGGCAACTGCTTTCGTTTTCACATGAGAGCTGGGGGTTGAACTAAGGTCTTAGTGAAATAAGTTAGCAACTGAGCCATTCTTCCTGCCTTGTACTGCTTTTTGATACTATTATACACAAGCTCTTTTCTTTTTGGACTCATTTAAAGTTCTGATGTTCCACAATGAATGGGGTTATATTCTGATAAACCCTAGTTATAATGCAATTAATATACCAAGTAAGCTCACTTTTAAAGCTGCCAAATTTTTTTCATTTCTTGACTTTTTGAGAAAGAAACTGATATAGTCACACTCGCCTTAAACTCACTATGGAGCTCATTCCTGATCTTCCTGCCTTTATCTCAATTCTAAGACTCCAGATATTTACTAGACACCCAGTTTTAGGAGGTGCCAGTGATCAAACCCAAGATTCTCAGGGTTTTGTTTGTGCTACCATGTTGGATTAAAGCTGACCAACAAATCCAGTGTAAACTTAAAAGAGGATTTAAGCTCAATCACTGCAGACTTATTTTTTATATGCTAATCTTTTATCTTTTAATTTTGATGATCTTAATTTGTTCTTCAGTCATTTTTATGGATTTCTCATAATTGTGTACTTACTAGTTCTTATTTTTAAAAGACTAAAAGTTTTACATTTATTCTAATCTCTCTTAGTTTACTTTCAGATGTAACTATCCACATAAGATCCTTTGTTGAATAAAAGAGGCAAAAAAAAAAAAAAAAAAAAAACCACCAAAAACCTGAGTGGCAGTTTGAACAAGAATGGCCCCGACAGGCTTGTATGTCTGAATAGTTGGTACCCAGGTGGTGGAAATGCTTATGTGTAGTCTTATTGGAAGAGATATGTCACTGGGGATGGGCTTTGGGGTTTCAAAAGTCCAAAACATTTCCATATAGGCCTCTCTCGCCTCTTCTAGTGCAATTCCTGCCTGCAGGCTCCCATGCTTTCCCACCATGACTGTCACGGACTCTAAACTTCTGAAACTATAAGGACTCCCCAAACACTTTCTTTGATAAACTGCCTTGGTTATTATTGTTTCTTACCATAGCAACAGAGAAGCAACTAAGAAAAGTTGGTACCAGGAGTGGGGTACTGATGATACAGGCCTATCATGCTGCTCTTTGGAGGACTTTGGAACAAGAAGGTAGGTGAATGCTTTAAGTAGGGCTTATCAAAATATCCTAGTAGGATCTTGGAAGGCAGTAGTGCTGACATCAATGTGGACTACTGGAGGTTCAGATGATGAGGTTTCAGAGACCAATACTAGCCCTGGATCAGAGACCACTCTTGTGATACAACGATTAAAAATGTGGCTGCTTCTTGTTCATGTCCTAAGTATCTGCCTGAGACCAAACTGGAGAGCTCTAGATTAATTTCTTTGGCCGAGAAGATTACATGACAGCTTAATAGTAACTGTTCAGTGGTTACCAGTAATCACTTTTATACAGGTTACACAATGAAAGCACACAAACAGAGTAAAAAGGAAAAAAATGTACAGTGTTAATCAAAAAGAGCACCAGAAAATTGAATTTTGGAGCCAAGGATTAGCTGAAAAATAGTCTACTATGAATAGTCCTACTACCCTCTTCAGGTTATGACCCCATCCATCTAATATTGCAACTTGTAAAAGGAAAAGGACTGAGGGTTTTTTTGTTTTTTTTTTTTTTTTTTCTGCTTCAAAAAGCAACAACAAACCAAAGCTTATGCAAAGTAATTCAAGGAGGGGCCCATTATTCACCTTAAGCAGGCAGCTGAACTTGGCAGTGCTGGCCATATGGTTCTGGCTTTGGAGCCATGAAGGAAACATGAGATAAGGGGTGCAGTGGTTTGAAAGAAAATGGCCCTCATAGACCCACAAGGAATGGCACAATTAGGTGTGGCCTTGTTGGAGGCAGTATATCACTAAGGGTGGGTTCTGAGGTCTCAGTTCAAGTAATGTTAGTGGCATTCTTTTCCTGCTGCCTATGTATCAAGATGTAGAACTCTCAGCTCCTTCTCCAGTACCATGTCTGCCTGAATGCCACCATGCTCATGCCATGATAACAGTCTAAACATCTCAATTGTAAGCCAGCCACAATTAAATGTTTTCCCATGTAAGAGTTGCCTTGATCCACTGAACCTCATAGAAGTGAGAAGTAAGTAGCCTTGAACACACTGGCACAGGAGATCATTTCCTGTATTAACACCAGTAGCACAGACACTGAAAGCAACAATCAATAAAAGGGACCTTCTGAAACCCAGGGCATGGTCAACAAGACAAAATGGCAGCTTACAGAATGGGAGATTTTACCAACATTACATATGACATAGGACTGATCTCCAAAATACACCAAGAACTCAAGAAACTATGCATCAAAATACCAAATAATCCAATTAAAAAAAATGGGTACAAATTTAAACAGAGAACTCTCAACGGAGGAATCTCAAATGGCTGAAAGACACTTAAGAAAATGTTCAACCCCCTTAGTCATCAGAGAAATACAAATCAAAACAACTCTGAGATACCTTTTTATACCTGTCAGAATGGCTAAAATCAAAAACACTACAGGAAAAGTTAGGCTGGAGAGGATGTGCAGTAAGGGAAACATTCTTCCATTGCTGATGGGAGTGCAAACTTGTATAGTCCGTCTGGAAATCAGTATATTAGTATGGTGATTTCTCAGAAAATTGGGAATAGATCTACCTCAAGACCCAGCAATATCATTTTTGGGAATATGCCCAAAGGATGCACACTTACCACAAAAGCAGCATTATTTGTAATAGCCAGAACCTGGAAACAACCTAGATGCCTCTCAACTAAAGAATGGATAAGGAAGATGCGGTACATTTACACAAAGGTATACTACTCAGCAGTAAAAAAACAATGACATCTTAAAATTTGCAGGCAAATGGACAGAACTAAGGTAACCCAGACTCAGAAAGACTAATATAATATGTACTCACTCATAAGTGGATATTAGACATAAAGCAAAAGACAACCAGCTTACAGGCCACAACCCCAGAGAAGCTAGGTAATAAAGAGGACCCTAAGCGAGACACATATGGATCTGCCTAAGGAGAAACAAGATATGGGAGCCTGGGTGTTAAAGGGGAGGGTAAACGGGGTGAGGGGAGGAGAGGGCAGTAAGGAAAATGTATAGCTCAATAAAAACATTTAAAAAGTTTCTGTGGTCATGGTATCTCTACATAGCACTAAAACCCTAACTAAGACAAGGAGGTTGTGTAATCTTCCTCTGCTATAAAGAGAACAACGAGTCCAGGTATGTGGCAAAGGAGACCTACATGGAGGCCCTGAGGACCATTTCATAAAATCTGTGAAAGGGAAGCCTGAGTGCACTGGAGACTCCAGGATATTAAAGTGTCAAAGCCATGAGATCATTGCTAAGGAAATATCATACACAAAAACTGAGTCTATACAACTTAATGACCATAGTTAGATCTCTTCTTTAACAAACGGGAAGAGGTATAGTAAAACTTTTCAATGAAATAATTTGATTTGGGCTCTCTTCTCCTAATTCAATCTCATCCATTGCTAGAGCCCTACACAGGTTTGCTTTTTTCTAATGTTTTAGTAATTTGTCTCAATTTTGTTTTTGTTTTCCTATTTCATGTAATAGCATAGCACATACCTGTATTATTCTGTGGTATTTCATGAAAATATTTTCAAAAAATTTTAAATTTTCTATGAGTGTTTTGCCTGAATCTATGTCTGTGCACCACCACTCATGTGCCTGATGCCCCTCTATTCTTGCCAAGTAATGAGTCTGAATTAGTTACTTTTTTGTTGCTATAATCTGTACTTGATAAGAAACAATTTAAGGAAGGAAAGTGCTACTTTGGCTTACTGTTTTAGAGGATGCAGACTGTGTCAAGGAAGGCATGGAGGTAAGAGGATCACAGCATTATGAAGATTGAGAACCACTGCTATAAGGGACATTTCACATTTCAAATGGCAACACTCATTGCCTGACCCACAGGTTTATGGCCATTTCATAATACAATATGTATTTTAAAATCCCATAGTCTTTAACAGTTCAAAAACTGTTTCAAAGTCCAAATCTCTTCTGAGACTGAAGCCAATCTGTCTTTTGTTTGAGACAAGATCTTACTATGTAGCCCTGACCGATGTGGAACTCACTACGTAGACCAGTCTGATCTTGAACTCAGAGATCCACCTGCCTCTGCTGTACCAACATGTCCAGCTCAAGTCAATCTCTTAATTGTGGATTCCTACAAAACAAAACAACACAAACAGGTTACTTTCTTTAACCATGCCTTATGACTACATGACCCCAACATGCCTGCAAAATCAGTACCATTTATGCCACACTGTCACATTCTGCTACCACTTTGAAATGCAAAGTTCCTCCGTACCAAACCTGTAGTCGCCTCTGTTTTCTTTGGTGTGACTCTCTGAGGAAGTACTTTCTTAGTAGGTTGTTTTCAAGAACGGAAACCCTTCAACAGCATTCAAGTTAGGTTCTTTTAAGTGCAATTTAAGTGGGGGTATATGCCTTTAATTCTACCACTGGGAAGGCAGAGGCCAGCCTTGCCTAGAGTGAGTTCCAGGGCAACCAGGACTACATAGTGAAATCCTGTCTTGAAAAAACAAAAGCAAAACTTCACAAAATGCAATCTGTACATCAGGCTGGCCTCCAAGATATGCCTGCCTCTGCATTCCAAATGCTGGGATTAAGTGGTTCAGACCTTTAGTTCCAGCACTCAGAAGGCAGAGATAGGAAGATCTCTGTGAGTTAGAGGCCAGTTTGGTCGCCATACCAAGTTCCAGGCTAGCCAGGACTACAAAGAGAGTGCCTGGATTTAAAAAGAAAAAGATTTTGTCTGATATATGAGGGAGTCACACATGTCCTAAGTATGTGTTTGTGTGTGTGTGTCTTGGATTGGGAGGTCAGAGGACAACTTGTGAGAGTTGGTCCTTTCCCTTTAGGAGGTAGATCCAGGGGATGGAATTGCAGAGTCAATTGAACAGCAAGTACCCATGGTGCTATCTTGCCAAGCCTGTGGATTTTTGTTTTTTAGCTTTGTATGAATACACATGTGTTTGTTCAAATTTGGGAGGTTAACTTTAAGCATCTCTCTGTATCACTCTCTATCACAGATATTAAGGCAAGATCTCTCAATGAATTCTCAGCTCACCAATTTGGCTAGTCTTACTTGCTCCTGGAATCCAGTCTATACCTCCCAGGTGCTGCTGAGATTATAGAAACATCCTCACACTGTACTGACATTTATTAGTGCTGGAGTTCTGATTTCAGTAAAAATATGAGTGCTCTATCCAGCTGGTGGCTAGATTTATAACCATAAACCTCACTCACATTTGTAATGGTTCACATTCAAATTTTAAAATTGTATATGATTATCTCATTTTTTTTTTAATTCGGAGAGAGTGTTTATATACTACTGGGCATTGAATCCATGGCCTCATTCATGCTAGGCAATTACTCTACCACTAAGCCCTTTTTCTACTCTATTTTGAGACAAAACCTCACTAAAGATGCTGAAGCTGGCCTTGAACCACCTTTGTAGGCCTTTAAGTTGTGACCCTACTGGCTCACCCTTAGCACAGCCTCAATGCTATAAAACTCATTGTTTTCTCTTTAGATAATGCTTAAGTACAGAATGCTTTACCTGTAATTATAAAGATTAAAGAGTTATCCAAGATTATTGCTATGTGTTATAGTAGGGGTCCAGGTTTATTTAAGCCTCAGAGAGTAAGATAGCTCAGTAGGTAAAAGAACTTGCCATGGAAGCCTAATTCTAGAACCCAATGGAGGAGCATATACATGCCACACAATAAAATAATTTTATCATTATACATACATCAGAGAATTATGATATAAAGGCAAGCAGAAATCAAGGGACGGTTTTAAGTTCCATATCAAAATTCCAAACACTTAGTAGTAAGAAAACAGTAGAGATTCAAGACTGACACAAGTACAGAGTCGATAAAGTAAAGCCAAAAAATTCAAGTGGTAGCTAAATTGCATTAGCTGCTAAGTATTTTTTAAATGCACTGCTTACATATTTCTGTTGTACAGAAGTTAATATGTAGCTCATCTACATCTGTACTGAGTTATGGAGACAAATTTCATTAAGGTTAGATTCAACCTCTCTTTAAAAAAAATTGAGGGATAAACCAACTAACATAAAAAGCAACATTCATAAGACCTAAATTCAACGATGTAATTAATCATTTCACTCCTTTTCACATTTATTTATTTACTAAGACAGGGTCACACTGACTGGCCTTGGAAACTCACAAGAGATGCTCCTGCCTCTGCTTCCCAAATGCTGGGATTTAAACTGTGCCCCACTACACCAGACAAAAGTCAGTTTCCTTAAGAATTTTAAGCAGAGAGGCCATTGTTGCTTCCTTTGTTGAGACACATTCTTTAACTTGTTTGCTAAACCTGGAAAAAGATGAATAAGAAACTGTTAATTGTTTTTGTCTTTTTCAGGAGTCACTAAAATCAACCTCTATCTGAATGGTGTTCAGCTTCAATCACAGAGTCCTATTTGTAGTGGAGTACTGAACACTGTAGTTGTGACAATTCGTGAAAGAATTAAGAAAAATTTTGAGCAGGGCAGTGGTGACAAAAGCCTTTGATCTCATCTAAGGCAGGCAGAACTCTGAGTTCAAGGCCAGCATGATCTTCAAAGAGAGTTCCAGGACAGTCTCCAAAACCTACAGAGAAACACTGTCTCCAAAAAAAAAAAAAAAAAAAAAAAAACCAAAAAAAACCCAAAACAAAACAAAAAAACAAAACAAAAAAAACCAAACAAACAAAAAATAAACAAAAAACCAAAAAAACCCAACAACAATAATAATTAAAGTAAAAATTTTGAGTTATCTTGGATAAACTGGTTACTGGTCATGTAGACCAACCATATATTTCTATCATATATTTCTATGCAATGTGACTTTGACCTTAAGGTTATGAGAACAGCCTGAGGTCTTAACTGCCATTTTATTTCCTTTCTGCAAACAATGCTTGCTCCCTGCAGATACCCATAGCTGCTTTCGAAACAGTACTTTTAAATTTTTAATACAAATTGAAGGGTGGGGATGCTCCAGCTACTCTGCGTTAGACAGCCCTGCCGGTGGTGAATAAGGACTCCACATAATTAGAGTTATGGAGGGGGGGGCGGGGGGTTTATACAGGTACCCCATGACACTATGGAGCTGCAAGCTCAAGGCGCCAAGGGCTTGCTCCAGGTGCCAGTCTCTTTTAGCAAATTGGTCAGCAGATGTGACTCTCCCTCCTGGTCTGCCCGCCCACCACAGATCAAGACCACAAGGCGAGCTCCAGGTAATTCTTCTGGCACCTGTGTGTTTTACAACAGGCCGACCGCATCTCTGACCCTGACCAGCGGATACAGACGCCGACGCGGACATTTGCTGCATCATCAGTTCACCTGCCCCACACCGAGTGCACAGCACCAGCCATTCCCGCCGCGGCGACCCTCACCTCCCCCCACCCCCCGCCGCCGCCCCGGGCGGCCGCTCCCGCCCGCGGCCGAGCCTGCGCTCCTCAGGGCCGGTTCCCTCCAGGTCGGGGCCGGCCTCCGCGGGGCGAGCGCCGCCATGAAGCCAGCCGGCCCTCTAACCGCCGCCCGCACGGAGCCACCGCCGCCCGCAACGTACCCCGCGGCGGGGCGCCGCTCCCCGACGGCTTCCACGGAGAAGTGAGCCGCCACCTCAGACGAAATGACCCGCGGCGGAGCGGGAGCCAGACTAAATCTCTTTCCCCTCCGCCCCCCGGCCGCTGCCAGCCAATGACCGCGCGAAGGGCAGGGAACCCAGCCAATCACGGAGACGGTGGGCGGGGAGCAGAGCGGCTGAGGGGAAAGTAAACTGACTGGAGGCGCGCCGCGGACGCACGATCCCGCGATTGGGGCTGGCCCGGGGCCTCAGCGCGGCTCCTGAGGCGGGCGTGCGGGCGAGCGCGCGGGCGAGGGCCCGCCTTGCGCAAAGATTTCAGTGGTGTTTAGGAAGTTCTTACTAACGAAACTTTGTTCGCAAAAGCAAGTCCCAGAGAAAAAGGGTTATAGATTTGGGTTAGAACCCGGGATGGTGATCCTCCAGAGACCTGTAAATTCGAGATACCACAGGGGACTGAGGCTTTGCTGCTCCAGCGAGCCTTTACTGACGTTCTGTGGCGCCTCTGAAGAGAAAGGGCCGAGAAATCACGAAAAACAGTATTTCTCATCACTTTCAACAGATGTGCTCTGGAGACACAAGGTCTCATGACCAATGGGGGCTGTTTGCAAAATGTCCTTAAGCGGCTACTCTGCATTGCTAAGGTGGGGGAGGATTATCTTCCAAATTCCTCTTTCTCACACAGCCCATAGCCCACTATGGGAAAGTCTTGTTTGCTACACCTGGTGGCCCACTCCTTTAATTTCAGCAAGCCTGAGGCAGGGCCTAGCCGATCTATGTGGATTAAATGCAAGTCTGAATGAACTCCAAACCACCAATGTCAGATAGATAGATAGATAGATAGATAGATAGATAGATAGATAGATAGTCAAAATAAATAAATATCGCAGTACAGTAACACGTGTCCTTATTACTGAATTTTCAGATGTCTGTCCCTTAAAGTTTGCTATGTTGAGTGGCCCTGTGGACCGAAGAATTAAATGGCTCTGCAATTTATAGCATATGCCCTCATATAGAGAATTCAGTTCCCAGCGCTCCACCCACATCAGGCAGCTCACTCACAACTGCTTATAATTCCAATTCCAAGGGATCCAACCCCTTCCCTCTGGCTTCCGAGGTCACTTATGTGCACGTGATGCACACAAATTCATGGAGGGATACACATTTAACTATATGCATATTTAAAACATGATCCTGCTATAAAAGCCTTAGGGATCATTCCGTGCGCTGCAACAAGCTGGGTTTTGCCACTCGTCCTCAATAAGCCAACTAAGAAAACCAAAATTGGGAGAAGGGACAGACAGATCCTGAGAGTCTGCTCAGAATCCTCGTATTGTTTGTATTATCTTCCCTTTATACTTGATGCTGAACAGGTCCTTTCGTGCTCACTGCCTTTCCCTGAGAGAGCCCTTAGGAAGCCTGTCCCAGGCCATCTTGTAAATTCACCACCTTTATTACTCAGTCATGGCCTCTCCCCCTATCTGTGTGTCTATCAGGGAGTCTGCCTAACTCCTAGTCTCCTCAATAGAGTTTAAACTGAAATAGTCTGGCCACAGTGTGATCTCTGTCTATTGTAGTACATCTGACAATTGTTTCTTCAGGAGACAAGCACATTTTCTGGATGCCCCCTGGAGCTCCAGTCCTTTCTCTTCCAGCGCATCCCTGATTTAATTCTAATTTCTTGGGTTCCATTCTTTCACAGGGTGGTATAACCAAAGACTGTAGTTTAAGTGTCTTTCTAAAATATATTTGTTCTTGCCAGACAGGCTGGTCAGTCCTAGCACCCTGACATTTTACTTAAGCTCTCTACATAGTCCCAAATATCTGTTACCCTAGGTGGAGTCATATTTGGTGAAGCCTGGTACTTAACAATGTCCTTTTGGGGAAGGACATGCCTTATGGCCTGCCGCCAAGTTGTTGTATGAGAGTTTCCTCCCCATATTGAAAGATTCCATCCTGTAGAGAAGCTCCTTAAACAGGAAGGTAAATCAAAATAGTTTCAGGAAGTCTCTAAAAACTGACCAGATTTTCTAGGTCTTATCAGAATAAGCAATAAAAGCTGAAAGTCCTCAGCCACTAGCTGAACATAACTGCAAAAACCCCAAAAGTATTAATCAGTAGCTCAGTTATCACAAATACAATTACCACCACCCTCTTACATCCATACCTTTTCCATTATCCCTTACATAGTACCTGTTTCTGTTTTCCTATATATAACTGGTACTCAGTAAAAGTTCTATTGCCCTTCTAAAGGACCCAAGTTTACTCCCCAGCACCCATGTACAGGCTTACAGACTGTAATGAGTTCAACATTAAATGATATGACAAAATGAAGAGTTGGTTTGAAACTGAATGCCCTCATATAGTTGAATGCTTAGTTACCAGGGAGTAGAACTCTTTGATAGGATTAAAAGGATTAGGCAGTATGGCCTTATTGAAGGAAGTGTATCACTGTGGGTGGGGCTTTGTGATGCCAGACCCAAGTTCTCTGTCTGCCTATGGATCAGGATGTAAAGCTCTCAGCTACTGCTCTAGCACCATACCTGTCATTTTCCTGCCATGATGATCATGGACTAACCCTCTGAAACTGTAAACAATCCCCCACTTAAATGCTTCCTTTTGTAAGAGTTGCCTTGGTTATGGTGTCTTTTCACAGCAATAGAACAGTGACAGCAATAGAACAATGTATGATTATTATGGTTAATTTTATGTTCCAGCATTCATGTTTCTAGCTTACAAGGGCCTTATAAATATTGCATTAAATTATGGAATAGAAATAAAGTATAATTGCTATGGCTAATGTGGTTAATTTTATGTTAATAAAATTATGGTATCCATATATTACTATGGAAGTACTATATAGATTTACAACCTATGGTTATCATCTCTTCAGACTTTTGAAGTACAATGCCTTTACTCACTGAGCTGATGGGGAAAGACCCACTGTATGTGTATATGTTTCTCTTATTGGTTGATGAATAAAGCACTGTGTGGCTAGTGACCAGGATGGATAGTTTGGGTTACCAGAGGAAGAGAGAATGTGAGCCCGGCAAGAGAGGATGCAGCTGGAATTCTCCAGTAAGCCACATGGAAATACTTAGATTAATATTAATGGGTTAATAATTAAGGCAGAGCTAGCCAATAAGAAGCTCTAGCCACCAGCCAACAATTTTATAACTAATATAGCATCCATTTATTTATTTGGGGCTCAAGGGCCTCAGGACCAGTCGGGCAAGAATCTCATGTAACACTGAGCCATCTTACTAACACTCTTTGGGATATATTAACTGATAGAATTCTAAATAACTAAGTAAAGGTAACTGTCATTTTATAAATGACTATTGCAGGTAAAGGGATAAGACTGATCTGAACCTTTGCCCTAGATAAATCCAGTTGTATCCAGAAATACAAGCCTCTTTTTACTATCTTGTTATAATGGATCTCACTATCTTGTATATTGTCCTCCAAGTATGATATGGCTGCTGCCATGCAGAAAGTCTGTAGAAGACTGGGCAAGTTCACAAGGCCATACTCCTTCTCAAGATACAAGTAACAGTTGCTAGGGGAGAGGGATTCCTGAGGCCCCTCCCCTTCCTGAAGATATATGGCAGTTAATTAACAGTTGGGATGGGGGGTGAGGGAGGGGGGCAGGGAGAGCTTAGAAGGCCTCCACTCCATTGTAAGGATTGTGACAGTTGACAGTTGCTGGGAGGTGTTTTTCTTTAGTG